TCTCCTCTCCTTACCATCCTTTGGCTCTTCACCCACATCCCTGGGTCCATGGGTCACTGGGGAAGGTATTTGCACTATTTAGGTCCTGGTCATCCTTGGAGGATGTGTAGCCCTTCAGATTCCTTAGAGAGACATTTATACAAAATGAAACTTTCTCCTGCTAACACTGGCCGCCTTCCACAGCATAATGTAAGTATACTGTATACTAACAAAGTCTGGGGACTCCCAATAAGATGTGACAGGGGAAAGGAAAAAGGAAAGAAGGCAATAAGTGATGGGGAGAGAAAACCTGCATTTACTTCATTGACTATTCTTCCTATTTGCAGACGCTCAGGACGGGGCAGACATGGTGCCTTGTTCACAGCCACGTGCTGAGGAGGCATTTGGTTGCTGATTGCTCTTTAGGTTTTGGAGGAAGAAGTGAAGATTGGTTCAGTGTTAATGATGCTATGGCACACAAACTATTGGGTTACAGCCTATTTCTTATTTTATGTAAACAGTCATTGTAGGACATTTGACATAGGTTTGCAGTTATTTATGAATATGATTGCCTGATTTTAAAATCTCCTGTTTACAATCTGAGTTGCTTGAAACACTGGTTTTGAAATCCAAAACCAGATGCAGCTCATCTGGTTTCAGTTGTTGTTTCCACATGAAAGGGCGGGATCATCCGCAGAGGTTTTGAGCAAGCCAGTGATGCCTTATCATTTTGGGTCATGGTCAGGAATAGCTTCATGGATGTTAGTGTTTCATTTATGTGAAGTTTTTGAATGTCACTGAGCCAGAAATTCAAATTTAATTCACATTTTTAGTACAAAAATGTGACTAATCAGACTGATTCCCCTTCCTGTGGAGTGATTTGCAGAATTATCTTTTTATAAAAATCTAATTGTGATGGCTTCATTAAAATGCAAATTAAACCACAAACAACCAAAACCCAGTCAACTATCCAAAACACTTACCATTTGGAAATATTTCCATCCTCTGCTTTAATAGACGTCAGAGACTTGGAAAGGTGAGTGGTGGAAGAGGGATGAGGGTTGGTAAATTACCTCATGGGTACGCTGGAAGTCCTGACTTCGCCACTATGCAGTGTACCCGGGTAACAAAATGGCACTTATATACCCGAAATCTGTAAGAACAATTTAAGAAAGGGAATGAGGGAAATGCTAAACAGAGTTCATGCATTCATTTTAATAACCAGCATTCGTGGTGTATCCTGTGATCATTACAGCTTCAATCTGATTATCTGATCTTTGTCTGCATCTACAGCAAAGGCCCAGAATAATGACACTGGTTCTTCCATTTACCTTTAGGGCTTGACATTGAGTTTGTAATTTAGAACAGGCTCTCCAAACTTGAGTACACAGATGAATTGCATGGGAATCTTGTTACATTGCAGATTGCACTCTGCAATAGGGCCTGGGCTGATGCTGGTGTGAGGACCACTTTTAAGTGGCAAGGATTTAGAGGAAGAAACGTAAGTGGATGAAAGGATTTCATCGAATATACTTATTGCTTCATACATTCATCAAGATGACCAATTTATTCTTGGAAGCTATGCTATAACAAGAATTGGAAGTATTTACTACTTTCAGATAACCAAGATGTCGTATTGATCAGACTACAACATTCTGTCAATGTTGAAACTAATCAAATATTAGGTGTTAAAAATTATGACTTTAACGGATACATGGGAGTGGAATAACAAAACCCAAAGCTTTAGAAAGCAAATATATCTTGATAATTTTAAATAGAAGGCAGAGAAATATTTCTATATTATTTCATATAATAAGATGTGGAACCAATATATCCCATGAACCTAAAGTAATTATCTTGTGAGAATGCAGTTTCCATTTTGTCTTAGTAACATGGTCAGTTATTTATCTGAAAACAGTCCAGCTTTTTTCTACACTGATTTTTATAATACCTTACAGCCCCTATGCTTTACATCAAGATCATATGTGAGATTTGATTTCCCTGTGGACATGAAATAAGGCTCATAGGAAGTTAGTTGTTTGTTGTTGTTTAGTTTTAGTATGCTTAATCTTTACTAGGTATTAAGGTCAAAGGGTTTGAGTGAAACTACCTGTTTAGCAGGGCAGAAATAACTCATCCCATTTTCAGTTTTGTATTCTGAAAGTTGGGCTTCTTGTCTCTAAAGAGCTTTGGAGTGGGATGTAGCATCCTTTCTTTATTCTCCTTTTTTCCAAAAATTGTTTTGACTTTTCTGCATCTTTTTCCTTTCCATGTGATTTTGAGAATTAGCTTGTTAATTTCTTCAAAAGAGCCAGTTGAGATGTTGATTGTGATTGTCTTGCATTCTCAATGGAGGAAAGTCAACATCTTACCAATATTGATGAAGCTATGTTGTGTAAAATTTTGTAATAAGTCTTACAGTCATTAAAAGGGGAAAAACAACGTATGCCCTTTTGATACAGCAGCTGGAAAGAAATTATTTAGGCAGATAGTGAAGGTAAAGGAGTCCTTGGCAAGACTTTTAACAAAAAAATAAAGCCTTCAAATTGTTTCTTTTCTGAAAAAGATCAGCCTGAACAATTGAGCTGCCAACATAGATGAGCAAGCTGGAGGCATGCACAGGTGAATGCAGGCAGCTTTGCCAATAGCAAAAGGCTATCTGAGAGCCAGGCGTGTTCCACATGGAGGCTCCATCTTCCATTTCTTTGTCACCATGTGAAACATAAAAAAAAGCTGGCAACATGGCGCTGGCCAGATAGATAACTCATCTGCATAATAGAAGATGAGGGTGAGGCGGCCAGCTTCTTTGTGCACTATGCAGACGGCACACTTAGTCCCAACCAGTACTTCACGTGCTATGAAAATGGCACACCTGGTCCAACCAATCTTTCATGCCCTATGTGAATCAGACACCACCCCCTAAAGCTCATCTATGAAATCTCCTGCACTTCACTGTGGACCGGAAAACCTGCTTGGTATCCCTCACTCTGCAGTGCAGACCTTTTCTCTTTCCTTCACCTATTAAACCTCCTCTCTTACGCTCACTCCTTGTGTGTTTATAACCTTGATTTCCTTGGCATGGAAAAATGAACCTTGGGTATTACTTCACATGAATGGTACCACTTCACTCTGGGTGCCTTCAATCAAAGGACATATGAAAGGAAAATTAATCATAGGACCCCAAAATCACTAAGCCAAGGGAAAAATCAAGTTGACAACTGTGTCAGGCAAACTTGCTTCCATTTTCTTCCTATATAAGATAGTTATTTAATACAAAGATAAAAAAGCTACATACCTCCCTCATAATTTGCCTACAAGAAAATTTCTAGTAGCAAAGGACAGACAGAACTCAGCCATCCCTCTGAGGCTCACATGAGACAATTGCATATATCTGATTGCTTCCTCTGCCCTATTGTTTCACTAAGCCAGTGAAGGCATAAAGGACTATTTCTGTAAGTTTCATGTTCAGTGAAAGTCTATTCAGAAACTCAAAAGAATGCAACTGTTTGTCTCTCATGTACCTATGATCTAGAAGCCCCCTTCTCCACCTCAAGTTGTCCTGCCCTTCTAGGGGAACCAATGTACTTATTACATGTATTGACTGATGTCTCATGTTTCCCTAAAATGTATAGAACCAAGCTGTGCTCCGACCACTCTTGGGCGCATGTCATCAGGACGTCCTGAGGCTGTGTCATGGCGTGTCCTTAACCTTGGCAAAATAAACTTCCTAAGTTGACTGAGACTTGTCTGAAAACATCCTACCAAACACTTTTTCATGATAATTATCCTTTGTCAACTGCTGGGCTTATGTTCCTGAAAAGTGTGTGGTTGGCAAACTCCATTGTTGTGGGATTAGTATACTCAGGCTTGCTTACTATGCAAATTGTTTTTGGTCTGGTGAATTGTACTGGTTTGTTTCTGGACCATTTTTACGGTGTAATGCACAGTGATGCTTTTTTAGAAGTGCGTTGGATTGTTTTAATTCATTACTTCTCATAGTTGAAGGGTAAAAAGTAGCGGAAGATTTTGAGCTAGGAATTTTGACACCCAAATTATATTTCTGGATTCCCTGTGGGGAGGGTTATGGGAAACCAGCGAGGGATCTAAGGGCAGTGGAGGCTTCTGGGGACATTTTCCCCCGGGTCTGAAAGCAAGGGGTGGGAGCTTTTATCAAAATGTATGGAGAGGAGATGCAGTTTTTGGGGCCGTCTGAAAGGCAACAGGGTGAATCCTGCTAGTGGTGGCTGCCTGGGAGATAGTCAGGGGAACCAGCGCCCAGACCTCTCCCTCCTCCCACCTTTGCCCACCCTTGCATCTCCTGCCGATGCTTGCTGATGGTTGAGGTTAGAGGGAAGCCAGAGGGCCTAGGCAGGATGCGGTTCTTAGGGATTAGCTTCCTGGAGCACCCAGCAGTGTGGAGAAGGGTGGAGTATGGATCTGGAGGGGCAACTGGAGAGAATTCAGCACAGAAGTGTCTGTCAGTATTTAGAGATGATGTGAACAGCTAGCGAAATGCAATTCCAGTATCATATTTTACTTAGCTATATGCAAGGCTGGTAGTTGTGTCACCCAGAGTCACCAGAATACAGTTCTGTTCTTCCTACCCATCTATCATGCAGTCATTCTTATACACCAGACACTGCGTCTTGAAACATCCCCCTGTGGTATACTTAAATAGCAAACAAGAGAGCGTGATAATATTGCCCAAAGTACATACTGTAAACACAATAGTTCTTTGAAGTCCCAATTTTATTTTAAAAACTCCTGCAGGTTTTATATTCAACTTTTTTATTATAAAATATCCATATTAATCATATGAACATGGAAATTTCAGTTTGAGAAGCTCAAATCTGAAACATTGGCCTCCTACGAAATACTGTTGAATAGTTTTTTTTTTTTTTTTTTTTTTTTAGAAATTCACTTCATGCAGATCAGACTTTAAAACATCTGCATAAAATGGAAAATCAAAGCACAGATCAAAATATAAAAAGGTATACAAAAATAATTAGTGCTTCAGAAATTCATCCATTTGTCTGTTTATTCATTTGTGTTGATTGCCTATTCTGCTGCTAAGAAGTATTTTCAGCTTTTGGTACCCAGAGCTGGAAGCTGTGTGCTCTGACACAGGAGGCCTCAGACAGCCAGAAGGGCAGCATCTCTCTGCTGCCTTCTCTTACCCTCTGTCCAAGTTCTCAAGGAAGGTTATAAAGGCACTCAGAGTTCCTTCCCAAGCAATCTTTAGAAAATGACCAAATATGAACAAACTGAACTGAAAATATTGTGTCCAGGCTTCAGTTAGGAGTCATTACCAGAGGAAGTAGGGCTTGGTTTTTTAGTCTACCAGCAATCGTCTCCTTTTACTTCTTCTTTTTTTTTTTTTAACTTCCATTTGAACCTACAATATGTGTAGAATTTGTTTTGTATCAGGTCATTTTTATTTTTGGATCAATAAACATTAAAGATAGAAACTGTCGTGAAATTGCCTTTGTGATGACGGACATCCTGTTGGATCTCTCTGAAATCCTCGCTAAGTATGAGCCCTGGTGTGTGTGTGGCATGTTGCATGGCATTTAGGGGACCACTTAAGAACCTGTGGAATTTTGGTTGTTCCTTACTCTGAGGTTGTGCAGAACATCTCCTAATCTGAGATTATGCAGAACATTTTCTTTCAAAAGTTATGTAAGTACCCTATAACCTATCTCTTTTTCTTCATTTATGGTATGTTTATGAGACAAATTACCAAATGGCATTATTTAATAAAAGCAGGAAGAAAGTTTCCTCAAAGAGGATGGGTGGCCTTCCTCATGTCACTCAGTGGCCCCAGCCAAGACCTCAGTGGAAATTTTGGTGTGAGAATTCTGATCACATTATTCTTTCTAACAAATCAAACCAAATCAACCCTTTGCCCCTGCAAACAAACCACGATTTCAAATAGCTTTAAGTCTTGAAAATAAATTTTAACGGGGAGAAAGCAAGCTGTTCTTGGTATGAAGCCAGATCCACCCATAGTCCCCAGACCCAGATTTTTCTATTCAGGAAGACAGGCATTAGCAGATTTAATGGTAGCATTTGGTCAGGTTTGAATGGGGTCACATGGAAGGATTCCATTTCCTGCTGCTGCAAAAGCCTGCTCAGATGTGAGAAGCCAGCAGTAAAAATGATTTCTAGGAATGTAGACTGCAACTCTAAGCTTTCTTGGTTGCATTGGCAACATTGTTGGCACATGTGTGGTTCTTGGAATTATAGAATTGCTTGAGAGACACTTATTGAGCTGCAGAAAGAGAGTTGCCAGCAAATAATGCTCTAAGCACAGATAATTCTATAGACTTTGCAGTGTCCCTTTAGCTCTAAAAGATCTATCTGTATCATAGAAGGTTGAAAATGTGAGCTTTTCAAAACATGTAGCTTTCTTTAATAATCCCTTCCATTGGATCAACTGGAAGATCTAAGCTCCCTGTCAGCCCTTTCATATTGTAACTTACAGTGAAGACAGGAAGTCAAGGATAAAAGAAAGAATTAAGCCTCATTAAACACTTTTCAGGTCAGGCTAGGAGCTTTTGCTGGTGTTCTCACTCAGTCTTCTTAGGTTGGTATTCTCCCATTTCTAAAGATGAAGAAACTGAGGCGCAACCAAGTTAAACATTTTGCAATTATCCAGCTCTCAAAAGTGATCAAGTGAGGCCCAGTTTTATTGGATTTTAACACTTAATTTCTTTCCACTTGTACCCATTACATCTCTTAGAATTCAGTCATTCTTCACCTTATTGAAGCCAGGAGACCCCCCCTCCCCTCCTGATAAAAGGCACAGCCATATTATATTAGTCACAATTCCAGGCCCTTCCTGGACATCTTGAGATCTATTCATGGACCCCAGATATAGAACCCAGTGTCTATAGAGAAGCCATGGTCATTTGTGTTTTCCTCCAAGAAGACAGCCAGCTGGTGTTTATGTTACTCACTCTTCAGGCCTCAATTGAAGAGATACTGTGTTAATGTGATTGTTCCTGTTGTTTTATCTTCATCAAAGAAAGGGAAAGCTACCCCTAGGGAGTAGCTGTAGAATCACAGAATCTCAGGATAGATGTGTACTTAGGAATCATCCACAATCCCCTATCTTCAGGTACTTAAAGATTGCTTAATATTATGTGTTAGGACATAACTGGTTCTAGTAGCTAACATTTTTGAGCACTTATTATTGGGCATTGGATAAAAGTTTGACATGTATTTCATCTTTTAATCCTCAGATCCACACTGTGAGTTAGGCACTAGCATTATTCTTCATTCACAGATGAGAAAACTGCCATGGAAAGATGCACAATTTGTCCAGGTCAGACTCGGGACACTCTGACATGCTGCTTCATGTCCCTGCGTTCCTTCCCACAGGGAACATCTGCCGTTTGAGCTCTCTTTAAAAACTTTAGTTTTCTTTTAAAACTTCTCCAAAGTCAAAGTTCATCTGCTCATAGAGCTTATCCCTAAGCTAACTGATAGAGAATTATTTCTTGCTTTCATCTGAATTTATCTTCCATTTATTTATTTATTTACAGACAGGGTCTCACTCCATCATCAGGCTAGAGTGCAGTGGTACAATCTCAGCTCACTACAACCTCTGCCTCCAAGGTTTAAGTGATCCTCCCATCTCAGTCTCTTCAGTAGCTAGGACTACAGATGTGTGCCACCACACCCTGCTAATTTTTTTTTTTTTTTTTTTTTTTTTTTTGTATTTTTAGTAGAGACGAGGTTTTGCCATATTGGCCAGGCTAGTCTTGAACTCCTGAGCTCATGTAATCTACCTGCCTGGGCCTCCCAAAGTGCTGGGAGTACAGGCATGAGCCACCACACTCAGCCTGTCTCCCTTTTAACATTTGATTATTTTCTCTGAAGAAGTCGGGTCTGAACAAGGAGAGTTTCGTTAAAAATAAACGAGAGATTTTGGCTGGCTGTAATGTCTCATGCTTGTGATCTCAGCACTTTGGGAGGCTGTGGTGGGCGAATCACTTGAGGTCAGGAGTTTGAGACCAGCCTGGACAACATGGTAAAACCACATCACTAAAATACAAAAATTAGTCAGGCGTGGTGGCACATGCCTGTAATCTCAGCTACTCAGGAGGCTGAACCCAGGATGCAGAGGTTGCAGTGAGCCGAGATCGCATCATTACCCTCCAGCCTGAGTGACAGAGTGAAATTCTGTCTCAATAAACAAACAAACAAACAAACTTGAGATTTTGGATTCATACACAATTCTGCACCAGCTTTTCTAGGGAAGATAAGAGAAGTCCATAAAACGTGTAGAGAGAATGAAATGTTCCTTCAATGGAATAGTAACCTTCTAAGATATTAGTGAATGTCAGGTGTACAAATATGTGTGGAAAATACAGGGTTAAACAATGTTACACAGCTTCTTTACTGCAAGACTTATTGGAACCCTTAATGTGCATATTGAAAGGAAAAATAATGAAAGGCTTATGAATTATGTCAGGTGGTATGCAAGTGATTATTAACATGTGTATTTTCCACCTCTATGTAAATTCATTTTAGTATTCCTTATTTCCTATACATGTGAGCTTTTTGAATTATTCTTGGAATGGATTGTAGCATCTTGTCAGTTCCCTCATTCATTAATGCATTTAATATAATCATTGACACATGCTCATTTTATATTTTTATGGGCATTGTGATTTTTCCTTTCTTTCTTTAAAAATATTCTTTGAGGCTTTATAGGAGGATATATAGTATTTGGTATTTTTCAAACAGATTTGTCTCTGGATTTTTCTTAATGGAGATTTCTGAGATTGTGTCCCACAGAATACATTTTGGGAAACTTTATTCCAGAAAGACCATCGTAAATCAGAAGGGCAGCTGAAAAAATCAAATTGCAGCCATGCATAGACTTATAATATGTCTGCAAAGTAGAAAGGGGGCAGGTATTCTTATTCTGATTATGCTCCTGGTTAACATGGGGTACAGATCAGATAAGCAATGATTCCAAACTCTGCAAAGAGACTGTGCTCAATCCTGCCCATTATCAAAGATTATAGTCCAGGCCCTTAACATGCTGCCTTATTGACTGTCTTTTCCAGCCATACCTCAATTTGCCCACTCCAACCTTTCAGTTCTTCTCTTGAAAGAAAGGAGAAAGATTATTGACAAAGGTGAAACAAAACTTCCAAATGTCTTCCCTATGCTTTCTTAATTAGTTACTGCAGGCTCTTGGGCATGTGAACTCACTGTCAGAATGAAAGGGAAGTTAGCAGCATTTGTTGAAAAAATGTTTTGTGATGCAAAGCTTATGGACTGCAAGGAGCTCATGAAGATGAGTGTTGGCAAGAGGGCTTTTGGTGATGGAGGTTCAGAACAGGTGTGATCAGGGGGCAGGTACTGCTGAGGACAGGGAGAGCTGGGGTGAGGTCAAGCTATGCACGGTCTGTTCTCTGGGAGTTTATTGCTTGTTCAATTGGAATGATCTTGTCTTGGCATCTATGGAATAAGATGAAGTTGTTTTATTTTGTTTTTTTCCTGTACCATATTCTGCTGCTCCGATGAGACACCCTTGGTGGCCTGATCCACAATATTCTTACAAGGAGGGGATGTCCTCTTTGGCCTTTTGCTCATCAGAGGCTAATTAGGTTTCTCTAAGTTATGACAAAGTAGGGAGAAGATATGTTTTGTATAACTTGCTTCCTCTCCTAGGGTATTCGAATTAATACAATAACCTATTTTGGGATGGAGATGATGTTAAATAGTTTCCATTTAACAAAAGTATGGATCAAGCAGTTATTATATTCGAGTTCCTGACAATGAGATATGGTTAGTCAGAGTAGAATATAAAATAGAGGAAAATGACTTAATTGTCAAGGGGAAAGTGGAAGAATATGGCCACCAGGCTGTGTTTCTTTCTCTGTTCCTATTTTTAGGGCATTATAGTATAGTAGTTAGAATCTTATCTGTTTCCTCATTCATTAATGAGTAAAAAATATCCATTGTACATGTTCACATTGTACTTTATGGGTATTGTGATTTCTTCCTTTTTTTCTTTAACAATATTCTTTGAGACTCTGTAGAAGGATATATAGTCTTTGGTATTTTTCAAACAGATTTGTCCTTGGATTTTTTAAAATAGAGATTCCTGAGATTATGTTCCATGGAACTCATTTTGGGAAACACTATTCCAGAAAGATCACAGTAAATCAGAAGGGTACCTGAAAACCAAATCCTAGCCTTACATAAGCTTGGTTACATACCAGCTGTGTGATGGAGATCAATTACTTAACCTCTCAAATTTTCAGTGTTCTCATCAGTAAAATGAATATAATCATAGTAACCTAACTCACAAGGTTATTGCGAGGATTAAATACAATTTTAGATACAGGACTTTTAGATCTGTGCTTGATATATTATACATTTCCATAGGTGATAGCTAATAAATTAGAGAGTTATAGAGTTAGTAAACAGGGGATTTTTTATATGCAGAAGAAAAGCAAGAGCATGTTCTATTCATCTTTTCTGGAGTACTCCTCTTCATCTGTGTCATACACATCATCACAAGTAACCCCCTCTTGCCTTAGGAAACTTACAGCTCCCAATTGAAATCCTGGGTAGAGTTTTGTGGAATTTTTGTTCTACCTGAGTCAACATCTTCTTTAATATTTGTACGGCAGATCACTGTTTTTTTTTTATTTTTTGTTTTTAGTTTTTTGAGACAGGGTCTTGATTTCTCACCCAGGCTGAAGTACAGTGATGCGATCATAGCTCGCTATAGTCTTGATCTCCTGGGCTCAAGCAATCCTTCTGCCTCAGCCTCCCAAGAAGCTGAGACCAGAGGCACATGCCCCCATGCCTGGCTAATTTTTCTTTTTTAATGTTTGTAGAGATGAGGTCTCGCCATGTTGCTCAGGCTGGTCTCTAACCCCTGGGCTCAGGCAGTCCTCCTGGCTTGGCCTCCCAAAATGTTGGGATTACAAGAGGTCAGTTTTTACATTGCAGACTCATCTTTTATTGGTTCACTGGGTAACTGACATCATGAAGACTGCCTGAGGAATCTGTGTAAAGCAATCAGCAACAGACCTGTTCTGTGGTGAATTTCCCAAATGTAGAACCCTCTCTGGCAGCTCTAGCCACGTGTGTTTACAGCAGCTCTGATGCAGGATAGGTTGCTGCAAGTGTGGCAGATGTGAGTTTTCTCTCAAATATCTGGCTGATAGTAACTGGAAGATCCCTTTGTCTAGCTAAGGAACATAAGGATTAATTGAAATGATCTAAAGAGTTTGGAGGCTTATTGCATTATTCTGTGCAATAATGACATGAGACAGTGCTGTGTTTGTGAGTGGGGCCACTGGAGAAGGAAATTCTGGTCTTTATCTGAGTCTCATGGGATGACTCGCAGGCTTTAGCAGATTCCCACTGGATTTCAGTATAATTATTATTCTCTGGTTTGGATACTGAGGATATCAGGCTCATGAAAAAGTAATTATGGGACAAGATGACTCAGTCTGGAGGGAGAGACAGCAGGCGCCAACTCCTGGAGAAGAGGACCACCTTGGATCTAGGACTCAAATCTTTGCCAAGTCAATATTCCTCAAGCTGTCTTTCCCCACCAGGATTTTTTTTTTCTTGAAGCCAGAGGACTAAATGTCCTGAAATTGAAAGGATTAGTAAGGAGAGAAGAGCAGCATTCTGGAACATGATACCTTTTCAGGTAGATGTGTGATTGGAAAGCAGCCTTGGTGGGTACTTACTGCGCTACCTTTTAGAGCCCTTCTCACTTACCTCTGTTCCCGTTTAGGGACCTGAATTTTCTTTTATCCATAATTTTCTAATTCCCAGTTGCCTCTGTCCCACTTAGCATAAACCTACTCGTGTATGAAACATGTGATTTCTGTCTACTGTATGTCATTGTCAACCTTTAAAAGTGTGAAAGCCATTCAAATGGGTCAGAGGCTATGAATATTCTTTTATCTATTCTTGTTTACTTTCCCAAAAGTGTTTTCCGGAATTGGCAGGAAGGCTCATGCCAGCGTCAGAGGCTTTGACAATGCGATGGCTAATGCACTGTATAAATCTGCCAAGGTAATTAGATGTCATAATGCTACAGAAATAAATCCCCCAGAGGAAGAGCTGGAGGACAATGTGAAGACCTCGAAGGACCAAAAGATGCATTTCTAGTGTTTCATCTTAGTCCTCTCATATTAGGGCAAATTAAATTTACTTCCTTAAGTCCTGAAACACACCCAGAAAGAGGTCAAAGGACTAGGACCATGAAGTTTGGGAAACAGTGTAGGACGTGCACAGCAGGAAGCTCTAGGACAAGCAGCTACTCTGCCCTTACCT